ATACTGGTTCGCTTGATATATATTACGTTGTGTTCGAGCTATTTTTGTTCGGCGAGACTGAAGCGTAGATGATAATTGCGACAGTTCCTGATCAACAGCTACTTGTGATGTTCGTCGATGCTCTACTTGAGTATTCAAATTGTCTGCAACTCTTTTTCTTTTATCATAAATATTTTGTTTATCATTCAGCTGTCGAGTAATTCGGTCAAGATCACGTTCTGTATTACGTAGTTGTGCTTCAGCTTGGTCACAAAGACGTTTTGTTTCCTGTTGTAAAGTTGTCTGTCGTTGTATCTGTCGATCCATATCATTCATTTGGTTTTCAACATTTTTAATTGCTTGCCTATTAGCTAGCTGTTGATCTTCAACAGCATGTAATTGAGCTTCACGTGCTAGTTTTTGCGATTGTTTTGCTGCTAAATCTGACTTTTTCCTATTTACTTCTGCTTGAAGAGAGCCTTTTGCAAGTTGTTTTTCATTCAAGTTTACACGTTGCCTTTCAATATCACGCGTTAGTGTTTTGATTTCTCTTTCTGCCTGTTGTTTCTCACGGTCAAGTTCGGTCAAGTGAGATTCAAGTTTGGAATGTTCGGCTTCGAGTTTTTGCATTGCTTTTTGTACTTCTTTCAACTTTTGATCCTGATCAGCTAAGTCTTTCTCAAGTTCGGGTACTGACTTGTTCAGGATATCAAGATTCGTTTGAACATTTTGTAAGTGATTGTCAATGCGCATGACTTCCATTTGTTTTTCTCGTATTAATGCTGCTTCTTTGTCCACTGCAGCTATATTTGTATCACGTTCACGTGTTTTTGCTGTTTCTTGACTTTTTTGTTGATTGAGCTGAGATTGCTTGCCTTTTAATTGAGTTTCATTTTGTGTCAATGCATCTTGTGATTTCTTTATTTGTTGATCGAGGTTTTGAACACGTTGAACTAAATTCTTGACTGCTGTATCAAGTTGATTGATCTCAGCCTTCAATGTTTCGCATGTTTTTTTTTGTTTTTCAAGTTGAGACTTTTCATTTTTAACTGCTGTCTCTTTCTCTTTGACCTTCTGTTCTGCTTTCGTGCAATCTTGTTTCAATTTTTCGAGTTTCTCTTTTGTCGCTGTCACTACTGTCTTTTGTTTCTCAAGCTCTCCTTTTTTGGTACTGACTCGTTGTTTCTGAGTTTCGAGCTCACTTTTCCGTTGCTGAAGTGTTACACGAGCTTGTTGTAGAGTGGCCCGGCATTTTGTGGTATGTGCACGAGCTGCTGTATGTTCACCTACTTTCAGTTTATGATAAGCTGTGCGCTGCGCCATTTGTGTTTGGCAAGCAGTCACTTTTGCTTGAGCTGCTGTTACTCTGGCTGCCGCTGCAACAGAAGCTCCTGGAACAGTTGCAGTAGCAGCTGCTGCTGCTGTTGCACTAGCCAACTCTGCTTGAGCAGCTGCCAAATTGATTTGGGCTGTTGTTAATTCAACTTGTGCTTGTTGTTCAGCCGTACGCGCTGCTGTTTCTTTACTCTCTGCTTGTCGTAAGGTCGTTTCATCGTTTCTCACTTGTTGTTCTTGCCTTTGATGAGCTTGTTCGGCTTGTCTTTGTTTGTCTTCTTCTGTTTTTAATTCTTGTTCAAGTTTGTTTTGTTTTTCGCGCTCACGTTCGAGCTGTTCAGCACACTTATCACGTTGATCGATCAGAGAGCGAAGATTTTCACTTAAAGTTTTGAGTTCATTTTCTAGACGTGTCACATTTTGTTGAAGTTTATCTCGTTGTTGTTCGGCTTTTTGAAATTCGCTCTTTTTTCCATCGAGTTTTGCATTTGTATCCTGTCTTTTTTTATCGACATCAGCACGTTCTTTCGTCTGCGTCTGCAGTTGACCTCTAAAATAAATATACCTATCTCGATGTTGCTAGACTACTAAAATAACTTACTGTAATTTATTCTTCTCTCCATCCAGCTGTTGAATTTCTCTACCTGTCGTCTGTATCTCTTTTAAAAGTGTAGCCAACTCTTGTCGAAGCCGATTAACTACAGCTTGAAATTGATTCATTCGATTTTGAGCAGCCTGCAATTCTGCTTTAGCACGATTTATGTTTTGTTGTGCTTCACGTTTTTCTGCTTCCAATTTTGCTTGTTCCTTTCGTAACTCTGCAATATGATTTTTTTTTAAATTGATCAAATGAGCTATGCGTTGTTTCATATCTTCGATTTTTTTTTGTTCAGCTTCATTGGCATCAAGTTTCATCTCATTTTCATGAATACGTTGTTGAAATTGTTCTTTTTGTCGTTCAAATGTCTCAATTCGGTTTTGTAATTCTTTGATTTCCTCTTCAAGACGATCTATTTCTGCTTCGAGTAATCGTATTTCTTGAGTTAATTGTTCAAGACGATTCTGTAATTCCTGTAGTTGTTGTTCAAGTTGAGTAATTTGTGCTTCGATTCGATGTATCTCTTGCTCAAGTTGTTGTCGACGTTGTTCAAGTTGTGTACGTTGTTCTTCTAATTCACGTTTCTGATCTTCGAGTTCTTTGAGTTGTTCTTGGAGTTTTCGAAGACGTTCTGTTTCTTGATAGAGTTTGTCCTGAAGGCGATCATGTTCCAATTGTTGTTGACGGCGTTGTTGTTCTAAACGAGTTTGTTCATCTCGTAAATCTTCGAGTTCTTGTTCAAGTCTTTCTAGTTCATTATTGAGTTGCTTAATTTGTTCATCCAATCGACGAATTTCTGCTTCGTGATCTTTTGATGCTTGCTTAAGTTCTTCGATACGTGCTTCGATCGCTCGTAATTCATCCTTGGCGTCTTGTTTTTCTCTCTCTAGACGCTGTAACTCACTAGTTATCTTCTGTATTTCAAGATCTGCTTCATCATTATTATTGAAATGTAAAGCCATATTGAATAAAGTAGTTACAAAAATTAACTCTAAAATAATTTGAAATCTAGTGCTCTATAGTTATAATATGATGCCGTAAAAACTATGAAATAGTTCACCATGAAGAATATTAATCAGGAAAGATCGAATATACACGAAATACATCACAAGCAGACCAACTACAGAGAAACTTAATTTACAAATGTCTTAGAAGTCAAGGAAAAATACAAATCTCAGGTTTTAAATTCAATAGATTTTTTTCATTCTCTGTCAGAATGAAAACGAGGACAAAAATATAAAAGAAATGAGACGACTAACATAAAATAACCTTGCTTACTGAAAGAAAAAAACACGTCTTCTGAAAGATTTTTTGCAATTCATCAATCAAGAAAAGCAAAAGTGAGAATGAAAATGTGTATCCAAATAAACTTACACTTAGTAATGAATAGTAAGTTTTACAAAATTGACTGACATTAAAATTAGTTCTATATATATATATCGTCAAGATGAAAAGTTCCAAATGAAATGATAAGAAGCTGGAAACTTTCACTGTTTTTTTTGTGACGACAGGCAACAACAAGGGTAATTTCATCATTGTTGAGTCACTATTTCACATTATTCAAGGTAAGCTAGGTAATGACCGAGTTATAAAAGTTGAGTGGCGATAAAGCAAAAATAGAACGCAAGAAAAAGCATGCTGATAAACATACAATGCGACGGTTGTTTTTCATTGTGTCATAGTGAAAATTACCCACTGTTACATTGAAAGTAGGAAAAACGAGCGTGTTGTCTATTTATAAAATTGAAATCGTAAAAAGGGAAAGAATGTCATTTGTCTATAGCGAAAGCCGACACAATATATAAAGATTTAAGGAGAGCTACTTCAAATTACATCTACTCCATTCAAAATTGATTGTTTTTCTTTTTGCAGAATGACAAACCATAATCTAACAATTACTCCTGATAGATATTTCAAGCCAGGCATCTCTTTGAACGAAGAGAATATAAAAACTTTCCGTGATCTTTATCGAAGATTATCAAAAATTAATCAATTTGATGGGCATGACATCGATAAAACATCATTACTCAAGGCTGCTCAACAACTTGGAATACAAGCTGATTTGGACGACTATCATGAGATATTGCAAGAATGTGTTAAATATGAAGATGAAGAACAAACATTCTTGTGTGTTGACATACGTATCCAAGGCTCAGTACAACAGTTGTCATTAGGTCCTCGTTCCATTCCTGCATTAACGTCAAAGCCATCAGAACAAGATAATATGCCAATAATTTTGACCGAGGTCAAATGTATACTTATTATCAAACATCAAGGAAAAGATGTGAAGGACTTTCTGCATACGTTTCTCTTGCAAATTGTCAAGAAAACCAGTACACGTGAGTAAGTAGACTAATCCGCATTTTCATTTTTAATTATTGAAAGCTAGACATGGTGATTGGATAAATTCAAACAAGCATAAATGGTGTCACATTTTTTGTGAAACATGATTTATAATGAGTATTGAACTATATAACAAGAAAATTTCGCTCATCTTCCTTTCAACTTACAGACTGTGCCTAATAGACAGATCGGCAAAATGGATAGGATTGCTTTTTAGATTAGTAGCAATCTCATAAAATTTCAGCGAATTTGTCTCAGACTTAAACTATTTTATGAAAAGGCTTTTTAAAATCTAATTTCAAGACTTGATAGTTTGATGTCAAACACTTTTAACATTTCTTTTTAACAATTCCATCGTAGATCTAATAGTGACGATGCCTGGACGCCATGTGACAACAAACGATTTCTTCTTCATCCTGGATCGCTTCTTGCTTTATTTATTCACGAACAAATGAGCTCATTAGGTACGATTCGTCAGCGGTCAGCAGAACGTTTGCGCCTCGTCGAACCTCTCACTATCACTGATGAATTTGGCACATGGTCTTATGATCATTTTCGAGGTCTCTTCGAAATTGAACTCCGTTCTCATCTTCAAAAGTCCTTTCCATCTTGTTGGGTCCTCAGCAACGATGCTCGCATCCACTGTCAATTTGTTTTTAGTGGCACTCGACAAGCCAGTGAAATGGCAACCTTACTTATCTTTGAACGCCCACGCACGAGTTCTCTCGAACAGTTTGTTGAAGACGTATGTGCCAAAGAAGACAATATGAAAACTAAACAATGGCTCGAGGCATTATATGCCGAAGACATTTATTCATTTCTTCATCTATCCAATTTAAAACAAACCGAATGGGACAATATAAAAAAGTTGTCAATGAACGCAAAGAGAATATTGAAGGCAGCAGTTGATCGAGAACGAGAGAGTGCTGCTGACGATCGAAGACGTTCCTTTGAAGAAAGTTCACTCAATGAAGAACCTTTAAGATCAACAGGTATTTACGTCGATAAAGTTGATAAATATATTACACTTTCATTTTTAGACAATCTACCTAAAGAATCTCGCTCCGAACATCTTGCTAATCTTCATTTAATCAAACTCTTTATCTATCATACGCTTCGTTTTGAACGAGCACTTCAAAGTTATGGGGCTCTATCTAAACTAGAGCCAGCTTGCATCGATGCATCATTTGCTGAGATGCGTGATGAGGGATATGCCGATGATGGACTCTTTTCAACAATGGGCGAGTTCTTTCTGCCCCTGACAATATCTGAACAAGAATTGAGAATGTCAAGATCTATTGCCAGTAGCCAAGTACGACGAGATCAATTAAAAGATCATACCAAGGAGGTTCGTCGCTTGGAAAAATTGTTGAATGAAGCAACGATGCATCGATGGGATGTCGATGAAAAGATTACTGAACTGAATCGGACAATAGAACAAGCATATGTATTATATTTAAACGAGCGATTACAAATGAATACGACAAACACATCGCGTGAACAAGCGGAAGAATTGCAACAAATTGATCGACAATGGCAATACAATCGGACACAACTGGAAGAAAAGTTGCTTCCATTGAAAAACACATTGGATCAATGGATAAGTCGTGCTACTGAATATGAGAAACAGATAGATGAACACAATGCCCAAATCAACAATATTCAAACCGAATTGAATCAACCACAACGTCCAGTTGACAAAGGACTTGTGAAGCCAGCGAGGGGATTCATTATGTACGGGCCTCCTGGTGTGTAATGCTTTTGTTTTACAATTTTTCTATTGAAATAGGTCGACTTTGTTTTTAGGTACGGGTAAATCAGAGATCATGAGTAAACTAAGTACGAAATTAGGTATTGCCATGGTCGGACCACCTCTAGCGGCTGGCGAACTCAATCGTCCTTTGGTAGGTGAATCAGAACGAGTCATCATTGCACTTGCCTCTCGATGTCATCGTGTGCCCTATGCTATGTGCTGTTTGTCTATTGATGAAATTGATTCTCTCGCACCGAAACGTGATGAAGATTCAAGTGAAGGAAAAGTAGACAAGATTAGTGTTCTTCTCTCATTGATTGATGGTATCAAAGATGTACCCAACCTTATGATTTTCTGTGCTACAAACCGTCTGCACATGATGGATGAAGCTTTTTTACGACGTATGTCGGGAAAATTCTTTGTTGGTCGACCATCATCTCAAGCACGCATGAAAATCTTGACTCAAATACCAGAATGGGCTCTTGAACCGGATCTCATTGATCGATTAGTTATTGCTTCAACTAATTTTAGTGGTGCAGCATGCAAGTAAGTTCAATAATTAGAATTTAAAGATATCAGAGTATTTAAAAGACACTTTAATGTTTTGCTGAAAATTGTTTTCGATAGACATAGTGTTATTTTATCTCTTTCAGAGCTTTTACTCGAGCCATTACTGTTCGTTGCATGGCTGTTCAAAGAACACAACCAAATTTTCATGTCAACTATAAAGAAGCACTGAAGATTGTCGATCGAACTGCACAACAATATCAAATCTTTCTCGGTAGTGAAACCTTACCTCGCCTACTTCTGCGCAACCTCATGAGTGGATCAAGGATTCGTGTAAATCACCTATCACGACACATGTATGCAGGACGAATCATTGTCGATCTACATGGTGGCAGTGCACGTATTGAAATCATTGATAGTAGTGATCGTATCGCCGTGATCGAACATAAACTTTTCCCAAATGAGACAAGTGTACAGAGTTTACTTGAACGATTGACCGTGTACGGAAAAGATCGAAATGTACAACTTCTTCAACTAATTGATCTCAATCTACTTGCTTCCCAAGGAGCATATGATGAGAAAAAAGTATTTGAAACACTGAAAGAACGATATGATGAATGCGTAGCCTATACTCGTTCGATGATCATCTACGATCTTGATTCTCTTGTTGGTGTTAATAAATCGGAATCAGATTCGTCTATGGGTCGATCCATGAGTTCATCTGTTGTCAATCAAAGTGTGTATACATATGTTCGTGCAAGATTTCGAGAAGCAGTTGTTGAGCAACAACAAGAAACAAATGATGAACAACAACAGATGGTAGAAAAATGGGCAGTTGCTGTTATTCGAGAACCTTTTCTTTTGAGACAATTTTCGTCGGATGTGCAATTTGCACGAACACGTCAAGAAGAAGAAGAGCTCGAGTTGGAACGACATAAAGCGGAAGATCTTCTCAAATGTGTAAAATGCAAAGATCTTTACATAGAGAATGAAAACAAAATGGGTAAGAAAAGAAACTTTTATTCTTCTTGTTCATAACTCTAGTTCTTCTAGGTAATTGTGTTCATCATGATGGATTCATATATGATAATTCAGCACCTGATCTTGCCATTCATACTCAAAGTGAAGTATCATATGAGTTAACAAAACTTGAATGTGATGTCATCAATTATCCGGAAAGACGCGAAGAATTTGAGCGACAAAAAAATAAATTCAAATGGATATGTTGTGACACGACAGTGACAACAGGTTCTGGTGCAGGTGGATGCAAAAAAGGCAAACATGGTTTTGGTGAGCAAGTCAGAGAGGGACATCGGCGAGATGGACATCGTCTTGATCAAACAATGATCAAACGATGGGAAGAAGAGTGTCGACGTAATCAAGAATACAATGAAAGATGGTTGTTGTTGTTGGAGAATCGAAGTTAAACTCGGACACCTTTAAAGACACTGTGTACTTTAGTGGAGGATGTGTGTGTGTGTGTGTATGCAGCTAGGGCGGGGCTTTTGCTGTAGGTATGGTTGTAGATCTTGGTGAAGGGATGATCGACACCTACACCCAACCAAACCTTTATGTTATATGTAAAAAAAAATGTTAGTTTGTCTTCACCGATATGCAAAAGCACTTTACATTGTTTTAATAAACATGCGATAAAAAATAATTTATTACGTTTTCAAGGTCTGCGTAGCAATTTCTAAGCAAGACTATTGTCGAGTGTATTTGATACTGATTTGAGTAATATACATGTTGGAGAGTACCGATGTATTTTTAAAATCGATCATCATTGTTTTAACAGATGACTGTTCATTTTAATCAATGCATTATTATTCGCTTCGGTCAATCTCTACTACTTGTGTGTATTAATATACCATCAGAATGAGCGACGATGAATTTGTGTCGTTTCGCCGAAAGTATCATTTGCCCTTGTGGTGTTTCTGTTCGTTGCTTATGAATTTTCTTGCAGAATGCTGATCATATCAATGAAACCAATCTCAAATCCAATTTAAGAAAAGATGAATATTCAATAAGTTCGTCGCTAGATGTTGGCTAAGCTTTAGAAGGCTGTATGTTTGTTACAATTTCATTATAAATCGTCAATCACTAGTTTTTAAAAGGCAGCTTCGTGAAATAGTATCCAGAATGAAAAATGATAATCACAGCTTGAGTGGCATCTTACCAATATTTTGGATCATAAGTTATAGATTCCCTCTCTGCGAAAGAAACGGGATAAGCAGAAAAAATAAAAATTAATTTTGTCCACCTGTTCGAGTCAGTTGTGGAAAATTGAATTCGCGACTCGTTAGAGTTAAAAAACAATTGTAGAAAAGCGTAGATGAGCGGTGGAAGTTAGGACATCAAGTTTCCGGTTAATTTTAAATCAAAGCCGATCTTTTTGAAAAAAAAGACATTCGAAGTCAGACAAGTCGTCATAGGACGTTTTCAGTCAGCCAAAAATCATTTGCTATGAAGACAGTCCTATACGGCTAGCTATGTTGAGATTGACATAAAATATAGTACAGAGAGATGGCAAATGAAATCTTGCTGGTGATCTGGGAGACAAGCATAGATAAGCAGATATTTTCTGAACTACCACAATAGTGGTACTGCTTTACTAAGTAGTTCATGATCTAGGCTTGGACTATGAACAGGTAACAAGATTGTCTGTTGAGAAGTAAGATTTATTTAGGTGTGGATGTGAAGGAATAGGATGCAAAGCACACACTCACATACTAGAAAGTTATAAAGAATAATAGGTCTGATAGTAGAGACATCCATAGGGCAGTGCAGGAAAGGATGAAATATTCGTGTTCTAGAAATTCAAGACATTAGGATGTGCTTCAAAAATGTGTAGAAATTGAAAAAAACAAGGCGTCGTAATTATCGTTATCGACTAGTGTCTATGATTCTCATAATTATTTATACATTCAATGTAAATTCTAATGACAATTCTAGAAAAGAAAGGAAAGAAAAATAGAATTACAATAATGAACATTTATTTTTGTAATTGTTGGTCATTTTTTTGTTATTCTGCTACACCAAACAGCAGAAGATTTTCAGTCGACATCTGTTGATTTAGTTCGTGATATTCGTTATTCTTCTGCTGTTGATAAAAACAATAATTCCTATTTCTTCTTTTTCAACTATCTACTACTATCCCTATTTTATTTTGTTGATGGGAATTATTACTTTAGCTCTATTCTAGAATCACAAAAATAAATAGAAAACTTAGCTGAGGTGAATATGTGCAATGTATTCTTGGAATCCTAACATAGAAAAAACAATAAAGTGTTCTTCTTGCTATACAATGCAGGAAACAAGTTTCTCATATATCATTTTTATTCATGGCAGAATAGAGTGCAACAAAATGTCCTGAGAACAACTTTGCCTGGTAGACTCTATCGAAAATATTGATATTAATAACAACGAATGAAACTATCTTGGAATTCATTGTTTTTGAAACACATTTTAATTCATTTCTGTTATCCGGTAGAAGAATCTCATACAGAGAGTTCTATGGAAGTTCTCTGATTTACAATAATCATCTTATTCTACCTATACTAAGACGTTTATTTCTTCATTCAAAATTATTATTATTATTATTATGTATATATAGTTTCAATGCATTTTGCATGCCAGGAGCTCTCAAAATTTTTATCAGCTTCAATCGTCAATGATTTCTCTTCGTAAACCATATGTATGAGGTCTTCACTTATGTCAATTCTGTTGTTACAATAAATCTACAGCCAATATTTTCTACTTGTCATTCTTTTTCATCTGTCAGAGATGTGGTATCGACTAGCTGTCAACATTGAAGTGCGAATAATATTGCTCGAATTCAACAATGAATGTAAAGGATATACGAATTCCATTCGACATTTTTTCTATCTGTTTAGAAAAAAAAAACAAAGAAACAGGCCTAGTTTCATTTATTATTCAAATTCGAATTCAAATCCGACATCTAGAGTGTGAGTGTAGTTGAAGTGAAAACACACATCTTCAGATTTGTATAGAATTGAACAAGGAATCTTTTCGTAAAAAGACTCAAGTCTCAACAACGGAAATGACAGAAATATAGATAAAATACTGAGACTTCTATTTATTCTAAAACACATGTTAGTATCGTTAGTCAGAAAACTCTTTACAAAACTGCTTGTTCCTATTGATCCAACTAACGTTGTCCGGTACGATTTGCTTCTTAGATCAATCTTACCGGGTCGGAACCGGTCGATTCCATTTAGTTCTTGGTAACTAGATTTGTAAACGATTTTTTTGGGTAAGGAATTCGGTTACAAGAAACTTGCAGGAATAATTCCAGAAAAGGAATGGAACCCATCTGTCTCGACAGTTGAAACATTTGATGAAGAATGAGTAAAGCAAACAACTGTGATTGAGTGCGGGGTACCTAGGTGAAGGGATTACCGTCCTACTATAATATTTCATTATTATTTTTTTGTTCAACTATCTTACAAGAAGATTCTATCACTAAGCCAATATTCATAAATTATCAACATTCATGCTCTAGATCAATAGAGAAACAAATTTCGATACCATACAACAAAGAGTGCGGGTGTCATAGTGAAGATACTACCTTTCATTGAACTATTCCCTAATTCCTATGTAAACGTCTTTTTTATGTGATCTTCTGACTAAGTGTTTCTTTTGTCATATTATTCGACATCAAATGGAAGAGAAATACAAGTATCACTTTGATGTTTCATTAAACACCGAGTTGTTGATATTCATTCTGTTCAACAAAATCGGATAATGAGAATGGCAATACTTTGTATCAAATATTTGGTATTTTAAAATTAAAATTCTAATAAAAATAAGTTTATTTGACCAAAAAATTGGAATAACTAATGGAATGATACGATTTAAGAACAAAGAAAACGACTACAACATTCTCGAGACATATACTTTGCTTCCTTTGATTAACTCATAGTGGCAGTCTTTTATTTAATCAACGACGATCACATCGATTTGCACGTGTTTCATTCAATTAATCCAAATAGCAAAGCAAACCGTTGAATGAAACGTAATCATTGAAAGATGTCACTTGCTGAGAGATGAACACGAGAAATGTGATTATCTTTACTCGATATTCGAATCAATCTATCGCCCTCATCATCAACCACAAGAAGTCAATTGACTTGTCAGAATCCGTTTTTTATAATCAGTGTCTTTTATTTTTGTTTTCTTTTGAATCGACTCTTGTTGATTGAATAAATACATAATACACGTTTCTTCTAAGATCATTTTGTCGAACGTCAACCGGTCACTGAATCTGCTCCTATTATTATTTCTTCTAGATTGGCTCATCTCACTTTGATGTCGACCGAACATAAAAATAATTCACATCGGTGTTGAATCACTTTATCAGTTGTTGCTTTTTTTCGCTTTCAAACATAGATAGATAGAGTTAGTTGCAGATAACATGACACTATTCTATTGAGAAATGTTTCTTGACACATACAACACATTCTAATAAAAATCAATCAATCATTTCAGTCGGAAACAAAATCCTCTTTTCGATGTTTCACTTTGTTTTGTAGAACACGATTGTTAATACGTACTGAAGTATGTTACGAGAAAAGTCAACCACTCGTGGATTGTCTCATCAATCAAACAGACAATTCGATGGATTAGCTTTTAATATCAGGTAACACCAATTTGATATTTCATGATATATTTTAATAACTATGGTATGCCTCTTGAGCGAGATTGATAGGCGTCTGACCTACTACAAATATTCAATCAAATAACGAGTATCTATTAAAATAACGATGTTCTGATTTGAATTACTGCTACCAAACACTGTGCTTGATTTCACATGGTAATTAGTAAAAATTCAATCGTTTTGAGATCAAATGTGCAGATACGCGAAAAGTAATTTTCGTGAAAAAATTAAATAGCTATCATTGGAGCTCAAAACAAATTAAACTCAAACTTAAAATAATGTACGTTTGTTTGCAAGCTGGAGAGACCTATGCGAACTTCAGTCGTACGAAGAGCTTTTATTAGTAATCGTAATAAAACTCGAAGGCAATGTCAAGCACCTTTGAAATGTGATTATATAATGAATATTTATATGATCTTGAGTGATAACATTAATATAATTACTTTTCTGGAGACTGTTAATTCGCTTGAAGGCCGATTTAGAGTCATACTAACTCGTAAATCAGCATATTTTACGTTGTTTTTGAATGATAAGTCTGGTGTTGATAACGAAAGAATATATCAGACTGATCTCATATGTGAACAAAAAGTTTCTAGTGTAAATCCTATGGAATTGAAATGTGCAACACGATGGAGTTGTTTTAATTGTATAACAAGACTTTTGCTGCATTGCTCATGACACATGGCAAGCTTAGAGATGTACCATGTTTAAATGTCTGTGAGGCCCGGTTAAAGAAGGTTCACTTTTCTTTCTAGATTTTTATTAATTTCATATACGTAATTGTTCATACAAAGACATGGATCTTTCCTGTATGAAAAATTTTCAGTGTTGTCAAATGCAAATTAATTCTTCTGGCAGTGAAGATGATGCTACATATTTTGCATCACTCACGTAATCCATATATCAGCGGCAGAAGCATCGTCTAATTTTAAGTGAAGATCTATTCCCTCTATAGTATTGAATAAATGCGCAAACTTCGGATTTAAATCCGAGAGTTATGTGTACTTCAAAAAGTGAATGAGACAGATGAGTCGTTCTAGAATGTGGGAACATAAAAATTATCGGGGCAAATCTTGTCTATAAACACTTGATTTCTATTGGCTACTGCTCAACCAATAGGATTTGGGGGTGAATACAGCTCAGATTTAAACTCTTCACCTTGATTTACCCTAAGAAAGTCTTTTTTCCTATAGCTTGATTTCTATTGGTTACTGTTCAACCAATGGGATTTCGAGGTGAGTAGAGCACAGATTCGAGTTCTCCACCCCAGAAAACCTCGAATTATCATCTCCGTGATCGGAAGATAGAGCTCTAAGTATCGATCAATTAGAGCATGGACAAAATCAGAACTGAATTCCGTTTAATTATCTTTGCAATAGGTGAGTTGGCTTTCTTGTTTCCATATGTTTTATATACCATTTTGTAGCTCGTGAAATTCTCTATCGAATGGTATATAATAGTTGGGGTTTTATTTGACTATGATAGGAAAATTTTTTTACGAAAGCGGAGATAGGTCGATCTTCGCATATGGAAGCATAGGGAAAAATAACTATTTTTGCCATAACTCAGCAATGACCCGGCCAATCATTCTCATCTTCGAACTCGACTGAGATATTGTTGAGACTAAACTGTGTAGAAAATTTCATCGCAATCGGACTCTCCTTTCGAAAGTTATCATGTAAACGGACGGAGGACCGGCCGGACGGACACACTGACCGATTCTAGAGTGTACTCACTTTTTGAGTACACAATCACTTTTTGAGTACACAATAAGGAATGCTAGCTATTGCTCTTTTTACAATTCAAGAAAGAAATGTTGTTCATAGCAATATTTCGAGTTCGTTGGTGGTAATTTCATGCGTTGTTGATCTTCTTCGGGTATTATATCTTGAGGTTTCAAAATAAACGGCTTTGGAAGAGTTTCCCAGAAATGTTCTTTGTATTGTATAGGTTTTTCAACATTTAATCCATCGAGTGAAAAACGATGAATTTCACCTTTCACAAAACCATGTTTTTGATAGAATGTACAGGCTTTGCTCATGTTGGTTGATGTAGTCAAATGTACTTTTCGATAATCATGCTGTCGAGCAAAGTTCAATAAAGTTACTAATAGACGAGACCCAATATCGCGCCTTTGAGCATCGGGAACCACAGTCATTCGTCGCAATTCACAGATTTGATCTCTTTCTTCCAATGGCAAAGTTTGATAGTAAACCGGATCGCCAAGATGTAGAGGCTGGACTGCTACTTGACCTACGATACGATTATCATCCATTGACACAGCAACCCACCAGTGAGCATTCGAAATTTGAAGATAATTCTTCTCAATATCTGCCATATCCGTTTGAAAGGCATGAATATAGTATGCTATGTCATTATCATACTCCTTATTGCTATCTAATATCATAGCTTGGCATGCAGATAAATCCGATGACTGATAGCTACGAATAATAATTGATGGAGTAACAGATGTATTCATCTAAAACATAACTATGTTATCACTAAAATCAACATTTAGTTAGAAGATGTTCTCTTTCATTCTCAACATTATTTTTCTCGTCGCTCATATCTATACTAGCTCTGATTGTATCCAATACTCTAGAATGTAGAAAACTACATGCGACCTGAATGATAAAAATCATTATGACAATGTTCAGCATTAGGAAACAAAATTTCTCGAATGATTTTTAAAAAAAAATGATAATTGATGAAAATTCAATACTCGATGGTAAGGAAAAGCAATATGGTCCATAAATTTTCCGTAAAGAAGAATAAAAACAAAAAAAAGTTGTGAAAAATTTTACAGAATGAGGTCGAAGGTTTCTAACAGATAATGTCAGTTCAGAAGAGTTGGATAAAAATAATCGAAGTCAGATTGAGAAAATCAGCATAGTTCAACGTCCGAAACGATGTGAACAAGATCGAACGTTGCACTGAATAACATAGGAGAATGAAGCAAACAAAAGTATTCAGAATGGTACCGACAATAACAATCAGTAACACTAGTACATGATAAAAAGTATGAAATCATTCTCACAAATATGTTCAATATTTTAAAAAACCCAAACCATTCAATTGGTCTTTGGAAACGAATTACCGTTCACTTGTGTTAATCAATTGATTGGGACCATGAAAAGAGATAAATACCTGCGAATGGATTATTGAAAAAAAACGATAGAGTACGTTTGAACCAAAAATTCTTGTCACACATTGATCAATCGGTTAGTTTTGTTGCACGTAAACATCAGAAAAAGGCAAATATAAATTAAGATCAAGTAAGACAATGAAATAACCGATATAGGAACAAACATTAATGCATAGTCGTATAGAGATTTGTGTTATTATTGATACACTCAACGACTGAAGCTATTAGATTAGATGAAGCGGTCGCAACTATTAGAAACAATCATACTGTTTCATCACCATCTGCGTTTTTTTTTTGTTATATCGACCGAACAGAACACAAGGATGCAGCAGCAATAAATGATAAGGAGAATTGAAGCTTTTTTTTTATCGCTGCTGGCTACAATTTTTCGTGCGTTAGACATGGCATACAAATATGAATGAATAGAACGAAAACATGAAAGAAATTAGATAATGGGATTATTTGGGGCCTGCCACTAATTGTCCAGTTTATGCTACAGTTACTTGAGTTTTTTCCCTTAACACAAAATACTACACATGGCAGAACTACTTCGTTAATCAAATATAAATCTTAAGACAAATAATCAAATTATTAATTAACAAGAAAATATGCAGTATAAATAAAATTGGTTTTTTTATTTTCATTTTGTATTTATTTTGATATAACTTATCAATGCATGATCATGTTTCAGTTTATATTGTATGCTCATGTATTTGATTACGACGTAACTGCATTGCAGTTGATAAAAAAGAGATCATTTCAAAATCATATTTTTGATTGATAGAGAGAAAATATCGTTCTTAAGAAACTTTGAAATAAATACAAACATAATAAGCGATATAAAAGTCTTTGAAAAAATGTGAAACTATATTGCTGATTTCTGAATTAATCAAATTTGTTTTTGTTAGAAAGAGCAATGTTTGAACTATAAATTTTGTACCAGACATATTTTTCCAGAATGAATCTGAGAAAGATGAAAAGCCAAAAACCAAACAACACCTCAAAAAAAGTTCTTAAAACGCTCTTGCAACTTGAAAAGTCTGCATATCCCAATTATTTTGAGCTATAGGGGTCAAATCTGAACAAAAAATACATTAAAATGTAGCGCATGAAAAATTCTGTCGATATTAGCTTTGAGAGTTTTTTCGATCCATTCTTGACTCTTTAATCAAAAAAGTTTGAAATACGAAACTTTTGTAAAATTGAGCCTTTTACAATGAAGATCAGTTTACAAGAATATCAACCATTATCTTCAAAAATCATGCGTGAACTGAACTCTTTTTGCGTTATTTGGTCGAAATATATCTGATTGCAAAATTTTAGTAGAAAAAAATAATTCAAAAGCGATTTTTTATCGTTATAAAACGTTCGAGTAGTAAGAACGACCAAATTAATTAGTCTCTTCCAGAAAAAAACTATTTATTGACATAAAAATCAAGAATAAATTTAACTTTCAATATACCATTAGAAAGAGCGCTCTTTGTGCTACAAAAATCTTCATTGAACATGGGTGTGAGTGTCAGTATGGGGGTGTAAAAAAAAAGAGAACAACTACACCCACACTCCGACTTACACCTACTCACACTCAAACACATCCACACTCTCTTGATAAGTCTTCTCTTTTGTCGTGTTTTTTAAAGTAGTCATACATTCTAATGATTTTTTACATTTTCTTTTGTTGAATACTCAAATGCGTTGCTTTAATGATTGTAAACAGCCGTGAAGCGTTGCATTTTGATATATATGGTTAATAATATTTGACCATATTTATGATTTAAAGTAACTGCACGTATCTCGTATTTTTACTATGAATAAATCGTCATTTCGACATCAATGATCGTATTTGTGTTTCGAATTGATTTATATTCAACAATGGAAAAATTTCAATCTGATGATCTTATATTTTTATTAATCATAACAACTATGAAATTCTTGTTTTATATAGATCAATCAGCTTTTGCTCATATTTTATTTAAATAACAATTGATTATAATGAACATATTTTTGCATGAGGAAAATAGTCTTTTAAATGTTCAGGAAATCCTAATGTATTATAAAGAAATATTACCCTAATTTTTGCACAATTGTTTCGTGTTGAATTTCTTGTAAAATTGTGTGTTACTTCTTTCAATAATTGATAATTTATATGAAGAAAAATACTATTTGGTAAACACATTTTAGTATCAAGTAAAAATTGTTCAAGATAATCTTCGTGAGTTTTTATAAGGTTAAGTTCAAAAAGATGAGGATATTGAATCACTATCAACAAAGGTCGATTGTCATCTTTTGATTGTTCATTAAATTTGTTAATTTGTGGTTTCTTATTAATTAAAGTTAATTTTTCTATCAATGGGAATGATTGAGAAATTTGAAGAAAAAATTCATGTTCAAAAGGACGTTCATCAAATAATGATATTGTACGAACACATTTAAATATTCCACCTGGAAAATTATTTGTTATATTATCATAATATTTCAATTTATATGGATATGAATACATATGACATTGACCATAATTTCTTTTTTGAAAATAATCAATACAAGAAATAATTTGATTATCTTTAAATCCATCAAATGTATGTTGAATATCTTTATTTGATGGAAAATTAATTTGATTATAAAAACGACTTAATGAACGAATATTAAATGTAAATTTATTTAATAGTGTCATATTATTAATAATATTTGTTTTCAAATCATTACCATCAATAAATATTTTTTTTCTTGAAACTATAAGACATAAATCCAGTTCTTCTAAATCGGACATTCGATGTAGAAGTGGTACAATTAATTCATCATAAGCACCTGTTTTCCTATGACAATACAACGAAAAAGATCTTAAATTGGGCAGTTTCAACTAGAAAAGAGAATAAATATTATTTCATTCAAATAAATTAACTATTAATAAAAAAAAAATTTACTTGATTATTAATTATTAAATTCGAAGATGAAATAATATTAATAGTAACATAAAGTATACGAAGTTGATTGAAACGTCCATCAAGTAAATAAAGACAATCGGTAAAATGATGTAGACAAACATATAATTTTAAGAGAGTTGAAGAGAAAACAATTGGAAATGAATTATCAAATGATAATTCTTGACACCAATTTAAAGATGGACAAAAATTTAAAAATCGTAGATAACTGAACGTATTAATGATACGCATAAATATACGTGCATTTATATCTTTTCTTGAACTTTGTTCTTCATTTGCATTAATACTGATAGCAAGTGATAAAATTTGATTTTTAAACGTACGAGTAAAAGGACATTCATCTAAACAATAAATAGATTTTTAAAAAAATCATGAGAAAAAGTATGTATTCTTTTTGGTTATTAATAAAAAAGCTTGTTAACACAACTTCTTCGAAGCTACAATGTAGAACATACGCATCTTTGTCAGCTTCATTATATTAATATAAAATATATACAATGAAAAGTCTCTAATAGACGATAGTTGCGTCTCAAACATAATTGCTCGTCAAAGAAACAATTTCTCTTATTTTGTACTGGTATTCTGCTTATTATTTGCCTGTATTTAGCTTTTCTTAAATACTATTGTTTTTATTCTTCTATAATCGTTGATTTAACCGACAAATAAGTCTATTGTACAAATCTATTATATCCACAGTAAGTTTCAACGCGTTATTATGCATCTCAATAAATTCAGAAATACTGATATTAATAATTTCCGAAAATTAGAATTTGATTAGTTCATGCTTTTGGTGTTCTTCAAATGAAAGCTATAGGAAATGAATACATTACTAACCACCATCTTTAATATCTATTATATAGGATGTCCAGTAAGTCACGAAACAAGAAAAAGAAAAGCGAATATCTCTCGCCATATTTTGGCTAAATAGGCTGATATTTTTACTATTGATAGAAGGATGTTCATAGATTATATTCATAAGTGAACCGTTGTCAAAAACTCTCTAAAAGTATCACAACTGACCTCAACATAGAACTGTATCTACTTGTAAACAGTAGCATTGACTTTCCCTTGTATGAGTTATTTTTAGAGGTCAAAGATTAAATCTCGAAGGCAAATGTTAGACTTTTGAAATGAGAAACTAAGGGATCTACAGTCTATGGAAAAGAGAAAGAGATTTTGTTTGAAAAAACTTATTATTCGATTTCGCGCTTTAACTCTACGTTTTACTATCAAGTTCGACCTCTAACATTGATCCATAAAAAAGAAGATTGATGCCACTGTCTACCAGTCAAATTATGAATGAGAACAAGTTTAACAGAGAATTTACAGATGTTAGTACCTTTTCAATTTCTTTTTTTACTGTGGTTCATCTAATTATGTTAAGTTCACAACTTATTTGGTGTTTGTTGTAGAATCAGGATATCGAACTCTATTCTGTGCTATATTCATTTCGATGTTTGCTAGAAATGTGACTGTTAGCATTTGTTATTAATAATCATTTCATTCCACATTTTCTTTTTCACAAATTTATGTTTAAAAGAGTTTAAGTTGAAAACAATATGGAAACCTTTTTATTTTAGTATTTTTTTGTATACAGACATATATGTTCTCTTTGATAAGAGTTTTCTTCTCATTCATATTAATAAATAAATATGAAATTGATTCAAATGAATTCATCTGATATAATTGAAAGAATTGAAATCAAATATTTTACCATTAAAAAGATGCATAGCTATTTCTTGTTGAATGTTATATAAACTAAATCCATATAAATTAGGATAATTTGTAGCACGAAGAATACGTTCCATTGAAAATGCTTCAAGATCAAGCCATTCGATTTTATTATGAATTTTAGGTAAGATTTGTAAACAAAATCGATCAAGTATTGGTTCAGATAATGGAAAAATACAATGATTCAAGAAAGATACCATTAAAGTCAAACAATTCGTAAAAATAGAATCATATACTATTTTATTTAATCGTTTATTAACACCTATTAAAGAATAAAGCACCTGGACATTAGACAATTTTTTCAAAATAATCATAAGAATTTCATCGGATAAATCATTCAATTGAACACGTGAATATTCCATGTTTATCTATATCTAAGCTTATGTTGCTTAGTTTATAAATGCCAATATACGCACGTTCATGTATTCTATTTGACCGATCTCGTCAATGAAAACAATGATACATTGTTCCATAATCTGAATTAACGATGACCGAATGTATAATTGTTAGAACGATTTTTCTCCTCTTTCGTTTAACATATCATTTAATATGTTGACTAAAAATGTGCACTACACGTGCTGGCGGTTCGTACTGCCGAAGAAATTTCGGAGGGCAGTGACTGGATAGTCGCGCCTCAATCATACCAACTGTTAAACTCTATTGCTAGGATTTAAAAAAAAAAAGGATATATATCAAACACTGAAAAGTCAAGAGAAGATATTTAATCGTTGGCGCACTCATAATTTATGAAATACCGTTAGTTTTATTACCTTATTTTGATACTCATCTTTTAAATCTATAAATTAAATCTAGATCAATATTGATTGAAAATTATTCCAATAACCAAACGAGCTAACTCGAAACTTAGTGAATTTCATTGTGACGAGTATAATCTTTAAATTCAGGTTAAGCTAGGGTGTGGGGTGTGGCTGTGAGTATAGAAGTTTTTGTAACCCACTCCCCACACCCTATTCAAGTAAATACTTCATCCACAAACGAACGAAGATGATAATAAAATGTTATTATAAGACTACTTTTCAATAAAAAGGAGTCGTATTCGTAAAATATGAGTACCATGCGAAGAGCATATTAACATTCCTAAATGAATTTTGATGTCTAGATTCATTCAGATAATGAGAAGTAATGCTAATTTGAGCAGGGATGTTGGCTTTGTATTAGACTAATACTTTTTTTAATACTAATGCTCAGCCAACACCTTTCATTATGAGAAATGCATGAAAATGAGAAAAGAATGTTTTAGTTCAGCATATAAGCACTGAGCTTTTTGTTTTTAATCCTAACTTGAAGATTATTTTTTCTCGAGTAACAGCATCATTGAAAGAATAAGAAAAGAAAACAATATGTATGTGTACATATTCACACAAAAGTAATTAACAGAAGTCACAGATAAAAGTTGAATCGTTTCACCGTTGGAAAATGTCGTTTATACTCAAGATAATACAGTCTTTCGCAGCTAGAAAGAACAAAAAGCAAAAAATGAACAAATGAAACATCAAAATGAAATCAAGATGTATTAGCTAGTCAATTATACTCCTATTTTCTAGTGTACGGTGAATCTCAGGTTTCTTCTCTAAATCGGATGATCCAAATTTCTGGTTGCTATCACAACATAATCAACATTTATCGCTACAATGTAGCAGAGTCTAATTTTTCAAAATCTTCTTTATCAATTTTTGGTATTAGGTTTTTTTTCGAACAGTTCGAAAAAATAAGATCCATGTTTCTCAAGAACTAGATCGAAAATAAGAAAAATTCTGTAAAAAGCAACTTTGTCTTCATTATAAAATCTTTGTGAACTTTCTAGTGTGCAAGAATCTAAGAAAAATCTGGGACACACAAGTAAAAAAAAAATATTGAAAATATTCACTTTGAGCAACGCGACTGACAAGGTTTGCAATTAAAAATCCATGTTTCTCATTAGTAAAACAGTAGATAAAACACATGGATCGTGATCTACCATGTATTATTGACTATGGTAAATCAAATGAAGACTTGCTGGTAGTTGTATAGTTTTGGGCGTAAGTGATCATGGAATCAACAGGGTGTGGATGTGGATTTTGACATCTGTTAAGAGTACATCTAGCACATGCATTCATACACGTATATTCAACACTCGCACCCGCACACACCCAAGGGCACTTTTGAAGTTGATCATTCGTCGACTTGGGTCAGGTCTTCTCCATCCCTGCGGCGTTTAATATAAAAACTCCTATATCACGAGTGAACGACAAAAACCATATATACACTAAAAGATTAAACGAGAAAAGCTGTGCAATCAACGATACAAAGGTTACTTTACAAACGCATCTTTAGTTTTCAAAATAGATACATTTCTATGCGAACAAGTTTTGATGTTGTGAAAAAAAAAATTATTTTTATAAATCACTACAAATTCCTTTCTTACTTCTTCGATTAATGAATGATATTGAAAGCTATAATCGATAACCGAATCTAGACCTATCAATATGTTTCGATTATATTTTTCTCTCTGATATTTTTCTTTCAAGGCATACACGACTTTTATAATAACAAATAGAGTCTGTATAAGTGTGTTAGTTAATAGAAAGAAATCAATTCAATAACAGTCACAGGTAGTCACCAAACAGTCTCGGTCTCGATATTCTAGATTATGTTGAGTAGCGTAATACTACTGAAAATAATATGTAATGTAATATGGATAAAAGCTGCGATTCATTAATTGATGAAATAATAAAAGGAATTCGTCGAGTACCTACAAATGATTTTTTGTTCTCAGGGTCGTAAAAGGGTGACACAGAATTTTATCCATGTTGAGAACATAAGATGGATGTATAAAATAAACTGTTTTTTGTAAATGCTAGAGATTTGCATGTTGCATTTTGTGTTTAAAATAAACACACTGGATGATAAAAAAAACTTGTTGGACAAATTTCTAGGCTTGGACAATCAAATATCTGTTTTACGTGTGTTTTCTAATGTCGAATTAGAAAATTCAGAATGCAATTTAGAAGATAAATACAAGCCGAAAATTTGATATTTCCAAAGTCTTTGTGATTGTTTAGATTTGGAGACCTTGTGAATTTTTGAAATTTCATGAAATGAGAAAATTTTTTCTTTTTGAAAAATAAAAATTAAATATGGGGGAACATTGTTGAATTCGGTACGGAAAAATGCATATTAGATAAGAAAAGATAATCTTGATTAAATTTTGACTTTCGCACACTTGTTTACATAGGATTATTACAGCATAACAAGAGCGGTCTTTGCCATATGCTTCTAAGTACAGAAGTTAATCATTCTTTTAGTATCGACTGTGGTAAATTTTCCAGGATATTATTGAGTGAAACACTCCGTTTAGAGTGAGAGTCAAATTTTATATGATCTCGGACACTTCGATAGGGTTTTTGGATAGCATGTAGATGCAGATGATCGATTGAGTTATATGGTGGAACATGGAAACAGAAGACAAATGATGAATCATTGTTGTCATTGGAATTTTGCGAACGAAGGCGAAGTTGTTCGATGGCAATCTAAGTAGAATAGCGAAGATGAAGTAATGAGAACAATAATAGAAATTTTACTGTGCGCATATGCTCTAACAAGGTTCGATGAGTATCGGTTAATTTTGATGCATTTTCTATGTGTTTTACGGGTACGACGAGTAAATGTAAACGTGCAGCAGGTGCCTTGGGAGTGAACACGACACAATGGTCATCTTTGTACCAGAGTCGATTGGATGGGGATTGTCCTTGAGAAATGCGACAAAACAGGCAATCAGTTACTTCTCTTGTCACTCTATCATAGACCACACCTTTTTTCGTGATTGTGTCAGTGCGTGTTGTTCTCATATCAGTCTGCAACAAGACTACGTCGCTAAATTCCTAGACACAATATCAAGAAAGCAATCTAAAAGAGCAACGAAGAAGCACAACACTTTAAAGATCCGCTCATTGAAATTTTTATCGAAATCACAATTCATCTTTCTGATGCTTGAACGAACTGTTTCACTTCGAATAACCCAAAAATGCTTGGACAATAAGCATTATTCATTGAGTCAAGAGTCGACGATGCCCTATCAGTAACAATTCAACAAGACGCACAATACATAGAAGCGTCTCAAATTGGATACTAATCATGCGAAGATACTCTAGATAAGAATATCTCAAAGGACGAAAAACACGACATGAAAAATGACAGATCATCGTTGTTATTAGTATTACTCATAGATTACATACATTTGCAAAGAGTGCATTATTTGTTGAATGAATTTTAAATATATTCGAGCTATTATAGGAAACAAATCAACTAATATTTCTCAATCAACTACACTAAAAATCAACAATTGAAAAAGATCAAGTCGAGTATTGTGAACGCAATAAAAAAAAATACGAATTATTTTACTTTTTTCAAATCTAACCTCCTTGAATTGATTAAACATTATATAAATAACACTCTAAATGTGGATTATTGGACATCTTGTTAAAAATTAGAAAAGGCAACGTATGTCGAATCACTGCATAGAAAAAAGTCAAGTAAGTTGTTACTCCAACATCAATTCACTTACAGCTTTCGTAACTTAGTCGAGGAATTCTTTTCAGTCAGATTAAACTAATAGTTCTAATTTATCTGAATTTACTCGTTTTTTTACAAAAATATTTCTTTCTTTTGTAATATTAAAATACATTCTATTACACACTAGTCATAGAATTTATCTGTACAACGAGGCTACTTAGAAAGTATATTTTTGAGTTGGATACTTCTAAATGTTTCCCTCAACATTACCGGACTTCAACTGATAAAAGCGTGTTTTTACTTATAGTACGGATATGATTATTTTAACCTGTCTGTAAGAAAGACTTGTTTTTTCAATAAGAAACCATATTTCAAATAATGTATGCTAGCGCATGTGTAAAAAATCCACGTTTTTCCAGTAAAAGCATGCTAAAAACTCGCGTTCAAATGGTGGTCAAAATGGAATCGATTCGAGATAAAAAACGTATCTGTCATAAACTCGTTTAAACAGTCTATTTACTTGGCATTTTAAGGTCAGAAGAAAAACGTGTCACAGATAAAACCGATGCGATAAAATGCGTTGCAAACAAAAAGCGATGGGTTTGAATGCATTTAAACGCAAAAATAGCGTTTTCCTCTTGAAAGCTGAAGTTGAAACACTGATTCATATAATTTTTTTCATAGCGAAGGTATTCACCATAAGTTGACGCTTTTTGTTCGGCTATATCTTTAATAGTGAGTGTAACCGTAATTCGAAGAACATCATCTATTAAGTGTCTGTGTGAATGTGCATACAGAGTAAGCCTTAATTCATCCACACATCCCCTTTACTTGTTCCAAAGCATTTTCA